AAAGTCACGGGATTAGAAATCCAAGGGATCGGAACTCAGTTACTCTGTTCACGCACTTGAGGCAAAAACGGGTGTGACAGGGAGAAAGGAAAAGGTCCCATAGTCTTCTCCAGAGAGAACAGCCATATGACCATGCCCCCGATCCATCGCTGACTCACTCCCTACCTCTCCTGGCATGCCCCTGATCAGCCCCCCTACAGCAGGACCTGAGAGGGAGGCTGGCATAAAGTCTTTACATTAGCTGGGGAGATCCCCTGAACAGGGATATTATTAGAGGGCGGGGGCTGGTTCCATCCCCTCTAAGGTCCCTGTTGGTTGCCAAAGTAACCTTGTGGAGTCTTTACATTAGCTGGGGAGATCCCCTGAACAGGGATATTATTAGAGGGTGGGGGCTGATTCCATCCCCTCTAAGGTCCCTGTTGGTTGCCAAAGTAACCTTGTGGAGTCTTGTGGAGTCAGTGGGAGTGTTACTTCTCAAGCTGCCCCAAGGCCCAGTTGAGAGGTACATGACTCCTGCAGGGAGCTTACCATGCTCTAGGAGTCTTTCGTCCATTGTGAAGGACTCTTTCTGTGACCTCAGTTCCATGGTCCTGCATTTCTGATGTCAATAATTTTAAAGGATCAAGGACAGGAGGTCACCAAAGGAACGTGGGGGAATGAGGGACCTGTGTGAGGTGTGAAGGGAGTCGCGTTCGGGTATCAGGACAGGGTTCTCCTCTCAATGTGGATTATAAAAAGGAAAAATGAGCTGGAGTTGACAAGAGAGGAGGAATTTAAAATGGTGAAACTCTAGGTGCTGTCGTCTTTTATGCAAAGAGCCAATATTGATAGAGACAACGACGCAGAAGATTAGAGACAAAAGTCTAGTTGTGGGTCTGCCAGCAGTGGGAAGAAACAACCAAGGGGAATAGATTATTTTTTATTAGAATTCTTTTGCTGCTTGTGAATAGGATTAGATGCCAAATTAATCATGAGCAGGTGTTAGCTAGGAGGGGAAGTGTCTCATTGACTTTGAACGGTAGAAGAATCAGTATTGCCAACTGCACTGTCCAAAAATTAGGAGTGAGCCCCCCCACCCCCAAATCATCAGATTGGTTTAAAAACCTTCAGATTTTTTTTTCTTCTGGTTTTTGAATTGTTATGGGGTGCTTGAGTCTCGGCAACTCTGAGGCAATTTTTGTTTTTTTTTTAAATGAAAGCTGAGATTTTCACTTATTCACATCACTCCAGGAGCTGGGGCATCAAGCGTAATGCCAATAATTGCAAGCGCTGGGAACACTGAAGAATCTGGGCATGTGTTTTTGTCAGACTAATTCAATCTTGTGGGTCTGATCATGCCCTTCACATGTGGGTCTCTGCCTCCCCATGGGGTGGGGGACAGCTAGACACCTCTACAGCAGTATTCCCTACTTCCTAAACCCCAGGTCCCATGGAGGGCCCTTCAAACGGGGAGATGGAACATGCTAGCCTGTTAGCATCTTCATTACCTATGAATCTCCTCTTTAACTGAATCCCTGAGATGTGCATAGATATTATGGGGATGGGGTGTCAGCCAAGTACCTAGGTAGAATCACTGAGTGATCTTATCATTGTCTTTCCAAACCTGTCCATTCCCTGCTGTTTGTTACTTGGAGCATCTCATCTGCAATTTAACCCTGATCATGG